TGCTTAAGATATATGAAAACGAAAACTCTACCCTATACATCACTTATGGACGTATCGTACTTTGAAAATGTGTTTGGATTATTTTTCTCCAGGTATTATTAATGCTTGCAGTTCGTTCTAGCCTTAAAATATTCAGTGATAAAAGAGCTTTCATTTTAGTTAGCTTTCATTTTGTTTTATTTATAGTTAAAACAGACTAGTTATAGACGAGGTACAAACCCCAACACTAAATTAAATTGAACTTTTTATCAGTTTTTGATAAAAGATTTATATCTCGGGTTGATAATATGTTAACAAGTTCGTTCTGGTATCAAAGTACTCAGTAAATGTTTGGCTTTAATTTTATTGATTATTAAATGACACATGACAAATTTAAAACAAATCATGTAGGCCTACCTTCAACGAACTATTTAATGAATTATTGTTATTTTGAAATTTGTCTTTAGTTAAAGACATTTATCCCCAATTCTAAATAACTCCCAATAAGGAATCCATAGCTAAAATAAAAGTCAATACACTTGAACGAATAGCTATGACGAGTTTTTCCCGTTTTCACTCTGCACAACACTACAAAATAAAACCATAAAACGTTTTGTTGAAATTTTTTAAAGGCCATATCCTATATTTATCTAAATATAATTTCCAAGTTACACAGTTACAGTTATTTATAAGTACAGTTATTTAAGTTAGTCATATGTACCATCAGTCAAACACCACTCCCAATCTGTTGGATCTGCTGGTGAACTATTTCAACGCCATACTTGAACCTGATGGTACAACCTTAGGCTGTGGTAGTTTTCAATGTGTTTTTAAATTGTCAAAGTACGAAACGTCCATAAGAAATGTATGGGGGAGAATTTTCGTTTTTATATATCTTAAAATCGTAAAACGCTATTTAAAAAACTGATTTCAGCATTGAAATCAGCGTGGGAATCTAGTTCATAATGATGTGTCACAACACTATAATTACATTAAAAAATATTTATATCCAATATGGCAGATCCAATATGGCTGATCCAAGATGACGGTCCAAAAAGCGTCCCCTATTGAAATTAAGTACGGACCATCCAAAAAATATCGGTCGTGGTTCCAAGTCAAAATCTCGAAAAATGTGCAAAAAATTCGTAAAATTCGAAAAATGTGGTATCTTTTGCTGCAAAATTTGTCCAATATTGGGAAAAGCCGCCATTTTTTCCTTAATTTAGGGGTTTCCTGTGGACTGATTTTTTGCAACTTTTGGTATGTCACTCTGCACACCACAACAATAAAATTAAAACAATAAAATGTTTACTTGCAAATTTTTATACGATCCCTGTGTACGTTATTTTTAGTTTGCTTGGACTATTACGTTAATGTATAAAAAATATTTTTATTTGAAATATTTTATTATTTCTTCAGGGTTTATTTTTTGTTGTAGGTACATGTATTTGGTATCATTTTAAAGGTAATTTCAGGAGGAACATTAAATGTATTGACGACTTTTCACCAATATTGACTGGAAAGTCAGAATTTCAATAAAAAGCAAAAAACTACTGGATTTGGCCGCCATTTTGGAAATATAGTGGTGTCCCACCAAAGATATTTTTGGAGACTTTTGATATGTTATTCACAATACTTTTCACTATCGAACAACAATGGTTTCATCTGTGTTCTAATTATTTCTAGGTGTTGCTATTTATTTTCTTATTTTAAGGCGCCTATTGTGTATATCAGGATGTCATCCGCATATTGTAGGGTTTTTGTATCTGCTTTATGATACTTTTCGATATCTGCTACATAAATTGCAAAAAGGAGAGGACTCAGAGTGCTACCCTGAGGAAGTCCCATGCTTGTTGTTTTAATTATTGTCCTATTGTCTGATTTTAGGTGTAGTTCTCTATTTGTTAACCAGTTATGACAATAAAAAATAATTCTTGTTGGAATTTTGTATAGAAACATTTTTCTGATAAGTTTGTTGACAACTTTGTCGTATGCCTTGGTAAGATCCATCGATGCTGCTACTATAGCCTCCTTCCTTGTCTTTGCCAAGTGAATGTCAGTATTGAATGTTATTAAATGATCCATGCAACCTCTGCGCTTTCTGAAACCGCATTGTATATCTGGGATTATCCTATGGTGTTCTACAAACCATTCAATTCGGTTTTTAATCATTGTGTTGAAGATCTTCGCTGTACATGATATCAGGCAGATAGGTCGATAAGCGTTTGCATCATATTTCTCTTTCTTAGGTTTAAGCAAAGGGTGTATTTTCTGTTGTTTCCATTGTTTTGGTATTTTGGTACCGTTGCTTTCCCAGATAGTATTGTAGATTTCGAGTAGGGTTGTTTGACCAATCTGTGGTAGTCTTCTTATCATCTCATACGTGATGCTGTCCAATCCGGGGGAGGTGTTTTGCTTTTTAGACTGAATTGCTATGCTTAGCTCTTTTTCAGAAAGTTTTTCTATCATTGTCAAATCAGTGACTTCTATTTGAGGGTACGTAACCTCAAGTAGATTTGGGACATAATCGGGTACTAAGGAACTTATAAATTCTTCAGCTAGTTCTCCATTGTCAAAAATAGATGAGTCTTGTTTTTTTTCGTGCCTTTAAAGCTTTTAACAAGTCTCCATGCTTTAGCTGCATCACAGTTTGCTAAATTTTTGCACAGGGTTTCCCAGGCATTATCTTTAGCCTGCTGTATGACCCTCCGGGCTTCTTGTGCTTGATTTCTATAACTAGTATACGTTGTTGGTGTCATTAATTTTCTGAAAGTAGCAAAACTAAGTCTTCTTTTAGCTATGGCATGAGAACACTCAGGTGTCCACCAGCATTTGGGGTTGAATTTACCCTTCAGGTCTCTTTAAAGATATTTTTTAATTGGTATGGTGGCGTCAGCAGATTGTTGTATTATTTCATAGAGGTCATCAATTTTTATTTCTGTATGTTCCTGAAGTTTTTCGTTAATTAATTCTTCTATACTTAGAGTGTAGCTGGACCTAGCTCTTTTGAAGTCCCTTATGATTCTTGGGTCTTTTTTGGTCTCACTTGTTTTTATTTCTATATACAGATGTACTGGGAAATGATTGCTCCCACATGAGTCATGTTGCACTTGCCATCCTGTTATGAGGTTGTGGAGTTTAGTAGGTGCGAAGCTGAGGCCTATGGCTGATGACTGTCTACAGTCAGTTTTGATTGTGGTGTGTGTGCCATCGTTCAGTAGTAACGCATTAAAATCCAAATATGAGTCCAATATATGCTCTCCTCTGGAGCATGTTTTGTGGCTTCCCCAGATGGGGTGATGTGCGTTGAAATCTCCACATATTAAATAAAAATTATGGTTTGAGTTGAAAACATTATTTTTCCAGAAGCTCTTATCTATTTTTCTTTGATTGAAGTAGTGATTGTATATGTAAATTTTGGTATCGTTTTCATCATATGTCTTTACTTTAATAACAATTGCTATGCTTTCTGATGAACTGTTTCCAAGATCTACTTGTTCCCAGTCCAGGGAGTTATGTATGAAAAAGGCTACACCTCCATAACCGTCGTTCCTGTCTTTTCTTATGATTGTGTAGCCTTGTAATTTAAATCTTTGATGGGGTTTGAACCAGGTTTCTTGAACAGCAACTATATGGATTTTATTTTTAGGTATATAATGGCTTATTTCTGCCCACTAGGCTGGCAGAGATTGGGCATTCCAGTACATGAATTTTATTTTTGAGTCACTATTCTGTCTGTATGTATTCATTTGGGTTCATATTGTTTATTATAGACAAAAACATGTTTTTGAATGACATAGTTACAGAGTCAATTGCCTTATCATTATTATCTCCTTGGTTTTGGTTCAAATCTGTGACAACATTTTGCGCCCATGTTCTTATTTGCCTGATAAAGTTTGCATCTTCCAGGCGCGTTAATAAGATATCATCCTTTGATGGCTTGGTTACTGGTTGTGTTTGATTGTTTGCTGGTACCTTGGACGCTGAGGGTGGAGGTTTGCTTGTTTTATGTCGAGGGGTTTGTTGTGACGTAGTTTTATAGCCGTGGTTTCTGTTTGTATAGGTTCGGCTTTGTAGAGATTTTGGTTTGTATCCATAATGACCTGTTGTATGGGGGTTTATTTCTTCCTCGTGGTCCACATTTTCAAGGAATGTGTAAATATTGTTGGTTGTCGGAGTTGCTTTAAACTGTGTGGATATTGGTATTGTAGCTGACACTTGTGAGTATGTTGGTTTATCTTGGTGTAGATGATTTCCTTGAGAGTTATTGTCCCTGGGAAACATTTTACTGACAGCTATATAACTCTCATTTAATTATGCCATCCTCCTTTTAATGTTTTTCGTCGTAGTATCTTTAAGTTATCTTTAAGAAAAGAGAACATAAACTATAATCACGAAATGACAGGTTAAATCGTATTTATAATAGTCAATCAGCTGCTCACAGTGTTGCCAACCTATTTCCAAGCGTACCGTATTACGTGCATATTAGAACCACGCTGTTTTGTATTGTTTCGTTGGAATCCTGATGTGCGCCAAAGTATAAACCGTACGGCAAAGTATAAATATGTAGCAATTAGCAGCTTTCTGTACTATAAACAGTACAAGGAAGTCAACTTTGTCGGGTGACTGTAGGAAAACGTATTTTTCCTATACGAGAACGTAATAAAACCATGCATTTGCACTAAAAAACGTAAAATTTTACTAAGTCTTCATTTTATTTACAACACTTACGGCATTGTGTTGTAAATTCAGGCCTTGAATACTTTTGATCAGGTTAGTTTATTTAAATAAAAACTATATATTTATCAAGCCATTGACGTAGGAGTACTTTTCGAACTCTCAACGACGACGTATTTTCATTTTGTAGGTTATTTCCTTTAGTCTGTGATGGCATATGTATTGCAGCACGATTCAACCAAAACAGAAAAAAAGAAAAATCTGCTTACTCCTCTATATTTATTTTACAAATACCAAAAAAGGTGTTGTGTGCAATCCATATTAATTCACTTAACATTTTACAGCCTTCAGCAGGTACAGTAACACCAGCCACCTCTCCTCCTGCTGGCGACGCCCCTAAATAGGGAGTCCTTGGAACCCGCCTGTGAATTGAATCCAAATAAGAAATGGCGATCATTGATACAGGAATATTAAAAAATGTTATGTCAATAATTAATTCAATATTATAAAATTATTTTTGTTTGGGTTGTTGTTGTAAGTTATTGTAATGGCATGTTTTAGTAAAGACTATTGTTATGTGAAATGAATGTTTTATTCCTTAAATAAATAACAAGGCACTGTCAAATCCCAATTTATTTCTTTAACTACATCGGGCGAGCCTAACTGAGCCACCAGTGATATATCAGAAACTATTAGATTTATAGAAAACCTTTAATAGAGAACTTCAAATACTTTCTTATGACTTGATATATAAATTCCACATTTTTTTGATTGGCCGCTGTATCCAAAATATATTTCAGGTTTCAGGATTAAAATCTTGTGTGGAATTAAATTTGATTTTACGAGTAGACAAACAAAGTAACGCTAGTTCCAATGTTAAGTTGGGAAAATAAGCTATTTATAATAAACACAGGGAGGTTTTGGATGGACTAGAATGCTTTCCTGATGTCTCAAAAAGGTTTGTGCTACTATTCACATAAAAGATGCATTTGTCACTTGATAATGAATCCAGTAAGCTACGCTCATTTGGTACAGTTTTCGGTATTTACAGATTTTTACCAGCCCCTTTCGGTTTGTCATGCTCTCCAGAGCTATTTTAAGTATTTTAGAGACATCAAAGTAGTATCCCTCTTCTTTGGTGACCTATGTATCAACAAAGAACTTGTTGCAAGTGATTCAAAAGAAGAAAATGATAGAATCTTAAAAGAAGTGCTGAAAAAAGTAAAAAAGTTCAATGTATTAAGTTTAATATAAGTTATACAAGTTTCAGCACTGTGTTTCTCACAGTGAAATATACGGGGGTCATATTTTGTAAGGGTGTAATGCTACCTGACCCAGACAAAATCCAAACAATTTAACAACTTTAAAATTCAAAACCCTCTCCGCAGGAAACCTGCAGAATAAGCGAATTTCAATTTGTCTGATTGGATTTTAACCAAGCTATTTCCATAAACAATTAATTTCTTCACCATTAAAATAATATTAGATTTGAAATGTAGTTATGTTATCTGCTACAGGGAAGGGATAAAAAGTGGTTTACATAAAATATTCCTAGCATAATACGATGAAATAAACAAATTTGCCAATAATAAAAAAAATAAATACATGGTTAATAAATACCCTCGCCGCAGCAAACCTGCAGACTAAGCGAATTTCCATTTGCCTGATTGGATTTACACTAAAATGTCTCCTTAAAAATATCACATTTATTCCCTAACTAGCAGAGTACCCGTTCACGGGATTGGCATAAAAGTACAAAATGCTTATTGCAGTTATACTCAAGCTTTGAGTTTGTAATGGGGGAGGACACGATTTGATAAAATTTGCTTCTTTAAATTTACTGTATAATATAGTATTACACATCTACCATAGCCATAATAATTCTACTACTTCACCTAAACAATAGAGATAAATAAACTGTTAAATATTCGCAAAATATCACAAATGATTTATTAAATTAAAAACATAAAAGTAACTGTAAATAATCCTACTTTGACAGTTCTCATTTCATATCATAGATTTTTGTTGTTGATTAGTTCAAATTAGCTGTTTCCATAAATACAAAAAAAGTAATAGTGCTGCACCCTGTTGGTAAATCTTATAACTTTTAATGCTTTTGCATACTATAGTACCAACTTGTTAAGTTGAAACAGCTGACTAAATTAATTCTTGTATTCCCTTTAAATATGAATACTCATAAGGTTAACATGGGGGACCACAGAGCCACTGGGGTGGAGCCCGAAAGGATTTTTGAGATAAGAATATGCCTATATGTTAATCGGGAATGTTGGCTATAATCATGCCAAATTTCAGACCAATCCATCCAGTAGTTAATGCGTGATTGATCTTCAAACAAACAAACAAACAAACACACAAACTTTCACATTTATAATATTAGTAAGATTAAAATAACATTAGTTTAACGAGTACTTAGGTTTGCTTCAACAGGGAGGGTAAAAAGGTATTTATTTTAATGTTAATAGTTTAGTATGAAATGAATGCATTTTCCAAATTTTATCAAAATATGATCATAAACAAGCAAACTACAACAGTTTACTTATTATCCATAAGAATAACATTCGAATTTTTAATTTACAGTTTTTTTGGAATTTTCTTCGTAATCATTAGGCGCATAACAACGCTTCAGTATAATAAATTATTTGTTTTTTAAGCTCTACAAAATGGTTTGGAAAGAAAAAGCTAAATTTTAAGTTTTTAAGGTCAAAAAAGGGAAAACCCAATTTTAGATTTACACGTGTGTACCAAATTTCATCAAAATCGGATGATTTTTGCTCGAGTTATCGCGCTAACGGACACATATATAAATATATATATGAATTTGAACGGATGGTGTTTTTGGTCTCTAGGGACCTCAAAATGAAAAAGTAAATCGGTCCCGGGTCCAGGTCTTACCATGAGTACTACGGTAATAGCTTATTCCCTATAGGGGAAATTCGCTAAAAGGCTGGAGACCCCTGTTAACTTTTTAAAGGGTTGCACCAGGAAATCCAAACTCTGCACACCTCTATATAGCATAAAAGTGCACTATTTTGTTTGTATCCCAATTTCGATTGAATTTATAGACAATTAAACACAATATATTGTACAAGAGACTAAGCTATGTGCTAGTTTTAAACATGTTTATTCATCTGTTTCAATGTTATCAAATTCTGGGGTCGTGTGTTCACCATATTAACCCATATAGCACGAAAGTCTCGTTGACCTACTTGATACCTATTATGGATACCTATATGATACCTAGATTGAGGATACCTAATGAATATGTGTAGAATACCTATTGTATAGGAATTGAAAACTCAATCCCACAATGCATCGGGCTTTCAACCGGTGAGCTCTGGGACTGCTGGGAGTAGTGGAGTGAAACATTAGAGAAGACGCCGCCATTCGCCATTTTTCTCTATCCGATCTGACAGAAGCCGGTGTTTGTTTTTGTTAACCTATTTTTATTTTTTTTTAATTTACATAAGTTATCTTATCATTTTCATTTTAGTTCTCACTCAGTGAGTGTTGTTTATTGTGTGAACAGGAAGTGGAAAATTGTCTGTAGATACTGAGGTAAGTCAATTATTGAAATATTACAGAAGTAGCCTAAGTTAGTTAAATAAAACAACGTTATAGGAAATTCCATGAACTACTCAGGCTAAGGTCCAGTTTGTAGGCTGGCAGATACAATGATACAAATCAAATAAAGCTTAAAATTTAAGATAATGCTGTAGCTGTAACTTCGCTAGGTTTTAATAATATGTTAATATATTTGATCGGTTTATAAGTCAGGCTAAATAATAATGAAATAAACTTAAGTTATTTGGCAACAAACAGTCACAACTTAACACACTTAATCGCTAAAAATTATATTTACATTGGATTTATCATTCAAAAGCAGTGTTGTTAAGTGTACAACCTAGACCTTTTGTAGCCTAGGCTAGCTTGAATATTAATAAAATACTTAAGATGAGTTAAAGTGTTTATGTATCATTGGTAGGCCTAGGCCTATCGTTTTGGCTGTGTTTTGGACCTAGGGAGGCTAGGCTAGAAATCAACTCCTTTTTCAATGTACCGTACTTTTAAGTTAGCGAATTTCCCATAACTTAGCCCGAATGAGTAATATTGACTAAGTTATTCGATCAATAGTTTAATTTAATATATCATTTGGTTAGTTAGGTTAGGTTAACCTTACCTAACTAACCAAACGATATATCAAATAATCGATAGCCTATATGGATCGATATTTTCATTCGGTTGTTTGTGCCAACACATAAGTTATGGAAGTGTATCAATTTTTTTCTTAATATAGCTTATCGAATTTTATTGGATTAGGTAGGGGTATAGGTTAACCTAGGTTATATTAAGGCTGCACTTTACTTTACGTCCTACACTCATTCGAATGAAAATATCGATCGATACCTATATCGATTGTTCGATAAGTTATATGAATTGATCGAACAATCGATAGTTTCATTCGAATGAGTGTAGGACGTAAAGTAAAGTGCAGCCTATATTAACTATAACCAAATGAAATCTATAAATCGATACATCCATTCGATTGTTCTGCGGGTCACTTATGGAACTGCATCTGATAGGGCTAAGTTACATTAAGTTACAGTATATTTAAGTTATGTAAGTAGCCTATGCAAGTAGCCTATGTAGGCCTAAGTTTGCCTAAGAAAATGTCACTCTAATGTTAGATTGAGCCAAAACTATTCCATGCATACGTTACACCTGGAAGTAACCTAAGTTATCATAACCTATCTTGATTAACTTATGCTTTTAAATTAGTTTTTTAGGTAAGGCTACAATAAGTAAGGACCAACCAAACTTGCTGTAACATTTAAAAACGTTTGAAAGCCTATTTCCTATATGCCTTTTCTGTTATCAAAAAGAATTTTGAAACGCTAACGTAGCCTATAGCCAGTGTGATTAGTTACGTTAAGTTAGTTTAGAATAGGCTAGTTTCATTTCCTAATCCCAATTATTTTTGCCAAAACAAGGTTAGTTCTTCATTTTTGTAATTTGCGTTTGAAGATATTAAAACAGAAAGAATAACTTACAGATCGTGTAGGAAAACTAAATCATCTAATAAGTTGTAAGTTTAAGTTATATTGTTTTTGTTTTCACGAAGCCTAAGTTAAACTTATTGCTCTTTATGTGCGTGTGCATTTTAATAAAGCGTTTCATTTCAACATTCACTTATACTCCCAGCAATGTTTAAGTTAGTCATAGGCTTATTATACACCAACCTATATTGGTACAAGGTTTAGAAGTCTTGCTTAGCTGTTTAAAAAATAACATTTCCAATGGTCGTTGGGCTACAGTAGGTTAATGATTCAAAAAAGTCAGCACTAAGTTACTTTGTAATTTGTAATGACTACACCTCACAGCTCATTAATAATACTAACCTACACTCTCAACACATTAACTGTTCACCTCAAAAAAATACCCTCAAAGATGAGGAAACTTAAATTAACTAGTCATTCACATTTTCAATAGGCCTAAATAAATTAGTAAAATTGATCAAGTTAACAAGCAATGCAAAGACATTTTTAAGTAGAGTTTTTCTCCAACCGATTGACTAAATTACGCAAGTCCTGGGAAGTTTTAAGTTTTAGCCAATTTTGCGTGACACGGTATTAATTAATTTTTGAAACTCGATTAATTAATTTTTTTTTATGCTCGACAAATATTGTTTGTTAAGTTAGGTTCTAGTTTTTATATTTTTAGACCCTACGATTATTTTTTTTTTAATCCAAATAGATCTAAAAATGTAAGAAGTTTTCCCCTACATTACCGTATGTTAAACTTAGGATTTTTCACCTCAGGATCAAAAAAGATCTTAAAATAAAACAATATGTGTCAAATGCCATGCAAATTAGTGAATATTGTTAGTGTTGAACCTTAACATTACATTTGGTTGAAGGTGGTTTTCTCTTTTACTCGTAAGGAGAAACCTCCTTTGATTGTTTTATAACTATCTTTACTAAGTGGTTCATGTGTTTTTGTTTTTTCTCTATTTTTATTTCAGACCGTTACCTGAAGATTAGTGACCGGACAGTGGAACCTGTTGATAGTGAGGGACACGATAGCGAGGCTGAAGAATCATTTAATTCTTTGATACAAGAAGAGAGAAACGACAAGTTTGTGAGTGTAGAACTTTTCAATGCTAGTGTAAACCTAACTTAGGTCTCAAATTAGGCCTAATCCATTGGCCTCCAGTGGGGGATGCAGACAGGGGGCGCGCCAACTTCCCTTGGACATAAATGTTTAACTATCGGGTAGGTGTAACGCGTAATAATGTTGGGCCTGGCTTACACTCTTACCAAATAATTATTTACTTAATTGTCATAAATTGACAAATTTATGGAAGCTATTTTCCCTCATAACTGACTTAACCCTGGAAGTACATTTCACATAAGTTGCTTAAAGCAGCCGCTTCGACTGAATAAAGGACATGCCTACTTCAGACTGTGTTGCGCTAGATCCTCCAGTTCACATGAACCACTGAACTAGGTTGAATTCGGTGTGGCCGTAAACTGATAGGCCTATTCTAAGCTATATTCTATAACCTTAGTTGTTAATATTACAGTGTAATTGCATAATTGATTATTCTGGCATTGACTTTAAATCCCACGTATGTAGGCCTAATCTTTTCATCCTATTGTACATTTTGAAGCTCTTTTGAGTGTGTTTCATAACAAAATTAATTTTTATAAAAATACTAGCTGGCCCGACAGACGTCGTCCTGTCCTATTGTGGTTTTATGTCACATGCTCGTTCATTTTCAAGATGAGCTTGTTCGCATGGCTCAATCACGTCCTGGTTGAAGTTCGTTCGCTACGCTCACTCACCTTTATGTTGGAGCTCGTTCGCTGCGCTCACTTGCCTTCAGGTTAGCTCGTTCGCTACGCTAACTCGCCTCCAGGTTGAAGTTCGTTCGCTACGCTCACTCACCTTTTGGTTGCAAATTAGCTGTTCTCATAAATTAAAAATAAATATAGTGCTGCACCCTGTTGGTAAACCTATTAACTTTTTAATGCTATTGAACATCACAGAATCAAATAATTGTTTAGTTGCACCAGCTGTTAAGATTCTTTAATTTCATTTAAATATGATTACTCATAAGGTTAACATGGGAAACTCCAGAGCCACTGGGGCGGAGCCCTATTGACGGATCTGCACCAAACTTCACACAAACCATCCTTGAATAATGCTTAATAATGCCTGAAAGTTTCAATACAATCTGTCGAGCGGTTTTGGAGTCCATAAAGGACAAACATACCTACAAATATACAAACATACATTGGATTTTATATGTATAGAAAACCCAATATTTGTAGTCAATGTTTTCATATAAGTGAGGTTTGAGTGTTTTTCTCAATTTCTTTTTAAGGGAAATTATATTTTTTGTTCTTTATTCTTTTAGTCAAAATACTAAAGGCTAGCTAGCTATAATGGTTTAGTAATACATCACTTTATTTGGCTAAGGGCCGCTTCCCCAAATCAAGTTAAACTCTGATCGTGGTTTAAACTTTAGTTCAACCTCAGATACACTTTCCCTAAAATAATTTCTCTGTTTAAACTAGGTTTCAGTAAACCCTCCGGGTGAGGGTTAACGCATCATACCGTGCATAGCTGAACTGTTTGTAGGAAATTGGTATCTCTATTACTGTCGCTGTCAAAATGTATTGTTTTTAGGTTAAATTTAAATTAATTGAACTGTCATAACCTAACCAAACCAAATTATAATGAAAATATCGAATGAAGGTTTACTAATAACAAAAATAATTCTGTTCATAAAATAAAATTATAAATGTCTCAAAATAAATTAATAATTTTTTAATTATAAAATTAAACTATCATAACCTAACCTAACCTAACCAAACCAACCAAACTTGCTGATAATGAAAAAAATCGAGTCAAAAAGTTAATGCCTCCAGGTTTCGAACAGGCTACCTCCAAATTATCAGCCCGGTGCGCTATCCACTACACCACCGAGACCGATGGCTGTACTACGTATCGTTGCGGTAATGATGTTCGCTCGAGCAGTGGTGGGCGGTGGCGGTCTGTCGGCAAGGGTTTCTACCTGGTGATCTATGGGTTAAACCAGGAGATAGGAATAATAGCTTGATTTTTATTACCATAAAGTGACCCAGTTCGTGCTGCTACCTATTGGAAAAAGCCGAAATTACTAGCACTGTCGCGTGACGAGAGTACCTCGTCAAAGTGCTCTGTAGCATCCAGGCAGCTGGACAAGAACAACTCGTCGAAGTAGGCCATTGGGTTAAGTGGAATAATTGTGGCATCTCAGGATCAAAAAAGCTCTAAAAAATATAAATATGTGTCAAGTGCCATGGAAATTAGTGAATATTGTGAGTGTAAATTTTGGGCCCTGCTCACTCTTTGAACCTTACATTTAGTCGAAGGTGCTCTTTTCTCCTTCCCTCTTAGGGAGAAGCCTCCATTAAATTGTTTTTATAACTTATCTGTACTAAGTGGTTGATTCATGGGTTGTTGTATGTTAGTTTAACTTAAATCTTCTCTATTTTTATTTCAGACCATTACCTGATGGTAGCGACACGACATTGGGACCTGATACTGAGGGACCCGATAGCGAGGCTAAAGGATCATTTAATTCTTCGATACTAGAAGAGAGAAACGATGAGTTTGTGTAGACTGTTGAAGATTGTATATTTTAAATGTGTTTTAATAAATTGTTTAAATTGTAATGAGATTTTCTTGTTGGACCTCTGACTTTAATTTATCAAATATTTTTTTAATTAACTTTTATTAATACAGACTATTTAATGCAGTGCAGAATTTTAAACCTTCCGTTTTATTTTTATCTTTAAATGTAAATTGCACTGAATGTACAGTTCCCTATATATTTAAATCTTGAATGTCGACTCAAATAATATAAACTTAAATATTGTCAGTGTTAAGAAGTTGTGTTAAGGTACTGTTAGTTATTAGTTCTAATAATTAGCAGAATTATTGAATAAAGTAATAATAATTTTTTCAGTAAATCCCCCAAATTGTTTAAACAGTTTGACATAAAAACCCCCACCGCAGCAAACCTGCCACTAAGCAATTTCTATTTGTCTGAATTGATTTTTTATTAAGGCTATTTTAATGACATTAGGTTTATAATGACTACCTAGGATTGCTGCAATAAGGAAACTAATAAAGTGTATTTTTATGTAAAATATTACTGTAAATAGCTAAGTATGAAATGAATAAATTTGCCAAGTTTGATAAAAATATATTCATAATCACGCAAACTACAACATTTTACAATATTCTCCATAAAAATAACAGGAAATTTAAATTTACATTTTTTAAAAATTTCTCCTTTACCAATAACCCTTTAAAAACATTTTGATAAACAAAATTATTTTATATTTTTAAGCTCTTTAAAGAGGTCTAGAAAGAAATTTTGTGTTTTGAGTGTCAAAAATTCGAACACCATTTTTTACCCTATACAATCCCGTTCCCATGGTCCGATCATGCTGATTCCCGAACTTATTCAAGTTTATCCCGCCTTACAACTTTAAACCAAATTTAATCTAAATCGGACACAAATTACTCAAGCTATTGCGTCGCGTTCACGGACGCATTCGTTCAAATTTGTATATATGTATATATATATATAAATTTGAATGAATGGTGTTTTTGGCCCCCGGGAACATCAAAATGAAAAAGTAAATCGGTCCCGGGCCTAGGTCTTACTGTGCTACCTACGGTAATAGACTACTATAGGGAAATTTGCTAAAAGTGAATGATAAAAAAACAATAATTTTAATTCTTATAAATATTGTATTTTTATATGTGTACAGATAGAATTAACTAGTTTCTACCTTAACGTTTTCAGGAAATTCTTCAGCACAGTGCTAGTTTTGAATCTGATATCAAAAACCAGGTGAATAATATTTTTCAGGGTTTTAGCATACATACTTGGTACATGCATGATACCTAAAAAGTACCTAAATAACATTTGAAATTTGTTTTTTTACCTATAAGGTAGGTATCATATAGGCTTTTATCAGGTAACAGGTACATATTTGATATGTATTGATGATACCTAAATAGTATTTAAGATGGACATTTTCACTTATTAGATAGGTATTTAAAAGGTATCATATAGGTATTGCAACGTTAAAAATACATATCCTAAGTTTCATGGATACCTATCTGATACCTATATAATACATATTTGTGCTATATGGGAAATCAAGGTCCAATTTCGACTTGCAACCAAAGTTTACAAGACCTTTACGATTTTATTGAATTATGTTTGTTTTGGTCTGGGTAGCTTAGTGGCTATATAGTTTTCCTTCAAATCCGTAGGATGCTTGTCCGATCTCAATTTTTTATCACTGGAATATAAAGCAATGTTTAATGAAGTGTTTAAGAAGGCCAATGTGGATCATGTAATATAGACAACGAAACCCGGAGCACCAGAAAAAGCACTCAGTTACTTCCCTGAATCAAGAATCAAGAATTTATTGCAACAAATTACAAAAAGAACATTTTGTATAGTTGAGGTCATTATAAGAGTAATACTTAGTAATAATCTGCAAGGATAAAATGTCCAATGGATAATTAATTAGGGTCCATTAATTAGGTGCATTAACTAGGGCCTATAACATTCAATAACTTAGGCTACAAATAATTTAAACAACAATGTAAGTTACACATGTAAGGCCTACATCAGTCAGAAACTAAAAACTAATATCAATGTCAGACATAAAAAATTCACTTAAACTATAATAAGGGTGATTTAATAACCAGCAAAAAAGTTTACTTTTAAATAACTTAAGATCAACACAGTGTGCCTCAGCTGGCAAACCATTAAACATCTTTAACCCTATATAAGAAAAAGATTCTTGTGACTTTGTTAGCCTGACTAGAGGTAATTCTAAATTATTCCTATGTCTAGTAAAATGACTATGTGCATGAATGTGATCTCAAGGCTACAGAATTATTATTAACTTTTACATAAACAAGACACACATAAATAAATAAATTAAAAACAGTGAGTATTTTTCCTGAATAAACAAGGGTTTGCAATGGGCTCTGTACTTACAAAAAGTAATGATTCTTAAAGCCTTCTTTTGTAGGAGCAAGATTCTGCTAACATCATGACCACAGCCCCACAGCAAAATACCGTAGCTTAAAATACTATTAAAGAAGGCAAAGTAGGCCATCAGGTAGTGTCTAGAGATTAATTTTTGAAGCTCGCGGAGTAAGTAAATAACTCTTGAGAGCCTACTACAAACATGGTAAATGTGCACACTCCAGCCTAATTTAGAATCTAGGTAAAGGGTGCGCCAAAAAAACCTGACGGTTTCTGTTTTGTAATAAGTCAGCTGTTATACTAGCTAGAGACCTCATTGTTGTAGTGAACGATTGCTTATGTTATGCCATTTTTAGGTTATGTTTGGTAAAACATCACGTCAAAAGAAAGTTACTGTCTAGTGTGGTGCAGTGTGGTGTGGCACTGTTTGGAGTCATCGGACCATATGTTTTTGAGGACGAAAGTGGGAACAGCCCCTGTCACTGTAAACTCGGAACGCTATTTGGAAATACTGAGGGGGTTTTTGGTTCCACAACTGCGGATGTTATGAGGGATAGACATGACTAACACGTGGTTTCAACAGGACGGCGCAACTTGTCATACAGCCAATTAATTATTCAATGTCAGCTTTGCGTGAACTCTTAGGGATCTCTTGGTTTGGTGATGTGCTGTGGTCAGCTCGATCCCCAGACTTAATTTTGTGTGACTGTTGGCTGTGGGGATACTTTTTGTCTCGAAATGTCAAACCATCCCTGAACTCAAGCAGTGTATCAGGGAAGAGATTGCTTCTATTCATCAGGCGAGGGTGACTGCAAATATGCAAAAAAATGGGAAGCCTGTGTTTAGGAGAAGGTGATATAACCTGAGTGATATAATTTTTCATAAATGAAAATGGCATAGTAGTGTGTAAAATATAACGTTATTTAATACATGAAATTGTAGTTTGTTCTTGAGCTATGTAGTATTAAACACCGTCAGGTTATTTTGGCGCACCCTTTATATACCCAATTTAACATTATCACAGAGTTGAGGAAAGTTTAAATCATGGTTACTTAAACTAAATAAAATAGATTGAGTCTTGCTATTATTCAACAGAAAACCGCTACTTTTGAACCAATCGTTACATTCAATGAGACAGTTGGACGTATGAACATTATCTAACACTGTGATTAAACTGTGTCTACTGCAGAAAAAAGTTGAATCATCAGCAAAAAATATAGAATTACAATTAACATTAAGAGGCAAGTCATTAATTACAACTAAGAATAGAAATGGGCCAAGGACTGATCCCTGGGGCACGCCACTCTTCACTACCGACACCTCAGAGAGCTTATTGTTATACAAGACTTTCTGTGTGCGGTTGGCCAAATAGGTCCGAAAAAGGTTTAGCTCAACACCTCTTATGCCGTATTATTCAAGTTTTGTGAGAAGGATGTCGTACGGAACACAGTCGAAAGCCTTTGAATGGTCACACATGGTGGTGAGTGTGCTTTCATGCTTTTCAAAACCATTTAAGCAGCAACAACAAGGCTGCCAACTGCGTCCACAGTTGACAGTCCCCCTCGAAAGCCGAATTGGGATTTAGAAAACAGATTATTGGATTTAAAACATTTAGTTACCTGGTGTATCACAGCCTTTTCCAAAATGTTTGAGAAGATCGGTACAACGGAGATCGGTCGATAGCTCTCAGGACAAAAAAATCCCCTTTTTTGAAAATAGGCACAACTTTAGATAATGTAAGGGATTCTGGAAAATTACCAGACATTAAACAAATATTGATACAAAGTATAAGTGGTGATAATACAGGGTGGGGCAGCATAACTTCCTTTTTTTAAATGTGCGCCATCTTGTTTGTTCATGTCATAGCGAAGAGCTAGCAGTCTCCTTTGAGGGGCGAGGCTAAAAAGTGTTGTCCTTGCATAGTTTAGTCGCCATTATGGGCTGGAACAATGAGAAGCGTGCGTTTGCTGTTGATGCCTACTTTTTGAGTGGGTAAAAATCGTAAAAACAGTGATCGCAGCCCAGTGTACCTTTCAAAATCGGGTTAATTTAGCCCCGTTGGCCCCTGTTCCGGACCGGAAAACAATTGATATGTGGTTGAATACGTTTAGACATACTGCAAGTGCAACAAAACGAAAAACTTGAGTCCCATGGCCCATTAGATCACCTGAGAACATTGAGGCAGTGAGAGCTTCAATGTTGCGATCCAGGTGTGATTTGCAATGGCCTGATCAATATTCTGATTTGTCCCCTTGCGATTTTTTTCTATGGGGTTTTTGAAGTCCCGCGTTTATGTGGACCATCCAAGGACCCTTCAACATTTCAAAAACATGATCCAGGAAGACATTGCCAAAATAACGCCTGCTATGCTTGAAAGCGTAATGACACACCAGAAATCGGTATACTGAATGTATCTAGAATGGGGGACGTCACCTGCATGATTTAAGCTTCAATACTACGTAAAACAAAACTTTAGGAACGTACTTACGTTACAAAAACCAAATAAAGTTTGTCTGACTCCTACAATGCGTTTTATTGAACTTTGAAAAAACAAAGTTATGCTGCCCCACCCTGTATCACAGAAAGCACTTCCTTGATGAGAAC